AAATGGTCCCCCCAAGAAGTTGCCGGAATGCGGCGGAGGGGCAATGGTAGTAAACGGACGAGTTCGTGGAGAGTGGTGTCCAGGCAAATTCTCAGGAGCTTCGCACTCCTCCCAGCTGCAAGGTCGATGATTGTCATCAATGATGGACTTGCGGTACTTCTTCACCATGGAGAGGAGTGAGGTCCAGTCATGAAATTCGTGGTCAAACATCTCATACCAAAGGTCAATAGGGCCCGAAGGGCGAATGTGAAGCCAGAAAGGTATGATCCAAATTTGTTGCTGAGGACCAATCTCGATAGCAATCTCCATGATGTTGTCCATGAAGTAGCCCAGTTTGGCTGAAGCTTCCAAGGCGGTGAAGTCGGGTGGTTGCCGAGACCATTGGAGAGACAAACGTGGAGGGGTCACTGGACGAGCTGGGCGATGAGGAGTGGAATCGGCTTGATTGGATGTTGGAGGTTGGGTGGACGCTGAAGTGGAGAAAAGGGAAATAGAAAGATCGGCGGGTTCCGTGACCGCGGGCGCTGGTGCTGGGGCGGTGGTGGAGGTGTTGGCGGGTGAAGAAACGGTGGGTGGTTGGGAAGGTGGAGTCGAGATGGCGGGCGAGGGAAGAAAGAACTGGTAGGGGGAGAAGAAAGGATCGAAGGAAGAATGGAGGAAAGCTTGTTGTTGTAGGTGATGAGCAGCTTGTTGTTGCTGTTGAAATTGAAGGCGGAGTTGGCGAAGTTCCTCTTGTTCCGAGACAGGAAGGGTAGTGAGTGGGATGACTGGTGGAGGTTGAAATGCCTGTGGTGGAGTCGTAGGTCGTGAGGTGGTATCAGGCGGTAGGCGGTGTGGGCTGTGGAGGTGGTCGATTGCCAGGTCCAGGAAGTAGCCGCAAAGGGGTAGCCACCGAAGAATCCCGGTCAGAAGGAGCATGAACGGAGGCAGGAGGCGAAACAGGCGTGCCATGTGAAGTGGCAGGAGGAGCTGTTGTTTGGTCCGCCTCTTGTCGGTATGGTTCCCGTGGTCTGTCGCGATGCTGGCTGGAATGGCCAGATCTGGGGCGGTTGGGTGTGCGACGATGCTCCTGGGGCCCTCTCTGGTGTGCGCGAGAGCGGCGTCGCCGAGAATGTGAGCGGCGACTGCGACGGTCGCCCCGTCGGGAGCGTGATGCTGCATGAGATCGGCGTCGATGTCCCCGACGGCGGCGAGAATGGGCAGAGCGGCTCCTGGGAGAACGACGCCGATCATGGTGCCGTGCAAGTGGTGAGCGTGTCGTTCGTGAAGTGTGCCTGGGACGAGGTCGTGGTCCATATGGATTGGGGGGCTGTGGGCCCGCGGCACGTGGTTGAGACTGTGGAAAACTGGGAAGTGGTGCTGGGACGCGTGGAGGTGGGAAGAATGAGCCGGAAAGATGTGCGGGTGGAGTGGGAGGAAAAGGTGGATCAGGATTGGAGGGTGGGGCGGAAGTGGGAATGTGGTGTTGAGAAGCGTCGCCCGCAGTGGGGTCGGAGTGTGGTGGTGGATCTGGAATGCCGCGTGCGATCACAGTGCCCGGTGGTGGGTTGATGGAAGGTAGGGGAGTGCTCTCGTCATCGTCGTAATCAGGTCCTTCCATCTGAGGTCGGGTGTCCCTGGAGCGAGAGCTGCGTCGAAGATCACGTCGTGAATGAAGGCGAGTGGATTCCAGAGAGGAACCGGAGCTCACCATGAGGTCAGAAAACGCCCGCAAATGAAACACTCTTAGTAGCATAGGACATGACATCCCTAAAGATGAGAGAAGATAAGAGAATTAACAGTCATCATGTAAATGCTTGTAACTCGGTCTGGAGCCAAACAGGAAGAGTAGGAAAAGGATTTGCGACCAAGTAATACAAAAAGGGAAAGATGTGAAAGTGGCGCATAGTGGATGATGACATTCTTTTTGGCTGCCTGGCACGAAGTGCGGTGAAACTGAGACCTAAGATCTGGTCGAGCGAGGGCGAGAGCGAGATCTCGAGCGTATGTGAAGACGATGCCGTGGTAGATGGCGAGAAGGCAGAGGACTGGGAGAGAGAGGAATCCGGGTATTGGGAGTCCTGGTAGTTCGCGATGAGGTCGTAGTAGGATGTGGCGTGTCAGATCGAGTAGACAGGGATGCACGATCGCCAAAGTGCGGCCTTCAAGTTCGTCTTCAAGTTGTTCCGGGCTCTGTTGAATAATATGGAGGAGGCCCATGGCGGTCAGGAGCTCGTGGGTGTAGTGGACAGCGGTGTGGTTGAGGCGAAGAGCGAGAAGGAGTGTGTTGTCCAAACCTTCAAGGTGAGCTCGAAGTTGTGGTGTGTGACTCGAGACATAAATGGAATAGTGCGAATGCTGAGTGGTATATGGAGGAGGGCGTGTACCTGGGCCAAGAGAACATGTACGAGTAGAAGTTCACGATGAAGCATCGCCTGAGCACGAGGTGGGAGACCGTGAATCGGTGCCAAACCACAAGGTGGTGTAGATGTCGAAGCCATGGCAGAAAGGCAATGAAAACAGAGGATCGGGTCGAGTCGTCGCTGGTGAGCCAGAGATAACAAGGGAAAGAGAAAGAGAAAAATCAGCGATGACAATGAAAATGAGTGATCAATCCAATAAGGAAAACAGAAAGCAGTGAGCAGGAAGAACTTTTGCTGCAGAAAAAGGTTCGATGGGTGAAAAGTCGGCTAAAGTCGGAAGCGTCGAGGAGGAGAGCGTGAGCGAGAGGGTGAATGAGAACTTGGCCTCCTCGTCAAGGTCGAAGGTGGAGCTGAATGAGTAGAAGGAGGGGCGTGGGGAGGAGAGGGAGCCGTGGTCGTAGTCCTCGTCGTCGTCCCAGGTGGAGAAGGAGGAGACGGATAGAGGAACAGACGGGGCCGAGGTGAAGAAAGGGATGTAGAAAAGGAGGTCGAACGGCCAGTAGGATGTGGTAGTCTCAAAATGGAGTAAAGTTCATCGGTGTAGACCAGTGTAGTGCAGGTAGATCGTCGAATCTGTTCAATGCTGGTCTCCAGTGCGCGAAGGGTAGCGCTGAGGCGAGGGCAGGTAATCGTGTCCACAATGGAGGAAGTGACTGAGTCCAAAGGTCCACGCGAAATCAGGAGAATCAAATGTAACGACGAATGTATGTGAAGAAGTTCACGATGAAGTACCTCATGAGCAGCAGCAGGTAGTCCAGCGATGGAAGCCGATCCCGTAGGTCCGGTCGGTGTCGTCGTAGGTGGCATCGACATGGCGGCAGCAGGAATCGAAGGGACGAGGTGTAGAACGTAGGGAAGCTGAAAGCCACAGGAAAAATGTGTGTAGAATTAAGAGGTAATGTCCCAAAGTTCAGGAAAAGGTTGATAACACCAAAGGAGGCGGTTTTCTCGAGGGATCGGAAGAATGAACAAAGAAAAAGCCTAGAGATTCCTAGGGTTCGAACGAGGGTGAGACCGAGAACGTGACGGCGCTGTACTGGATCGATTAATCACAGGTCTGCGTATCGTAGGAGGTCTCGGTGATGCCGTGGGGAGGGATCTGGTAGAGGTCATAGTTCGAGTCGTAGTTGAACCCAGAGGAGTAGAAAGAGACGGAAGGCGAGGGTCAGGGAAGGTCGAGCATCCTCGTAGTTCGGCATCCACTTGAGTGGTGTCGCAATTCAAGGCATGTATCATCCCAAAAGTAGTGAGGAGTTCATTGATGTAGTGCACCCCATTATGGATCGCTTGGGTCGCCTGTCGAATAGCTGAGTCCAGGCCTCGAATCTGAAGCTGAATATGTGGGGAAGTAATGTAGTCCATGAACGAAGGTTGAAGGATAGCAAAGCGAGTGCGAAGAAGGGAAGTAGCAAGAATCAGCAGACCATGTAAATGAAGAATCTCTCGATGTAGGATAGCCTGGGCCCTCATCGTAATGCCGTCCACAGGGTGGAGACCAGCCGGAGAAGGGAACATGGCGAGAGGAGGAGGGTCAACTGAAAAACTAAGGCTCCAACAGGTTCCAATGAACCTCAACAGTACTTCGGTCGCTCTGACCACGTTGAGGCGTTAAGCCAGCTTGGACCGCTGCGGACACGTAAAGGCATGAGCCAACTTGGAATTCCAAAGATGGGACAAAATCATCGGACGTACGGCCTAGGCCACCTGCTGTCCGCTGCGGACATCTGCGTTCCCAATGCCGGGGAACATGGACATACACCCGTTCGACGGGTCCACGGGAGGCACTCTGCGGGCTCATCCCGGGTTGGTACGAGGCCAAACACACTTGAGATATTGTGTACGGAACTGAATGCGGTGCCACACGCCGGCCTAGGGTTCCATTTCCTAAGAGAACAGGTAGGGAAATCTAAAGAAGAAGAGGAGGTCCATCCACCGGAGGTCCCAAAGGTAATCAACGAGCGAGCGGACGACAGGGTGACGACGATTCGAGGAGGTCAGTGAAGCTCCCAAGGTCCAAGCACTCAAGGAAAATCAACGCTGCAGTAGCCCTTTACTGAAGGAAACAACGAAGTAGACAGCTTGTGCTCTACGTAGGTTTCTCTCTCGGCAGGTACGTCAATCCGGCGTCCCGGATTGATTTCACAGATGCAGCACTGGCGTCTTCGTTGGTGCCAGTCCAGTGTGCATCCCTGGCACCCCCTGCTGTAAAACAAAACAAATGCAAAAGCATCCCTATGACTCCAAGGGTGACACACACACACACACACCACGCATTGGGTGGGCATCATGCAGTTGGGGTGCCAAAGGTGGATGTAAAAGCTTGGTCGAGTCAAGCCTTCAAAAACGTCTTATGGACTATCCAGCATTCAGGTTTCCCTCTGAGCTGCTAGCCCACCTGAAGCTTGGAAAATGGTTTCAGCACACATGCTTATGCTTGCATTACATTGCAATGAAAATCTCTGACTGCTGCCAGCATTTACATAGTTCATTCACAAGCATGCGTACCTTGGCTGCGTATACGTGCTTGGTGCTTGATGGCCGGAGGGGACATCCTCTTAAAAAGACCCGCCTCAAACAGGCAGGGTAAGCCGCGGAGGGTCACACCAACGCGGAGGATAAGTCCACCTCCAAGCACAGCAGGAATGTGGGTGAAACCGGTGAAAGACCAAAGGCTCAAGCAACCCTCAGGTATGCTTGAGGACTTGGGCCGGGTGCTGGTCACTGCTGGTCACTGCTCCTACAGTCCAGTCACTGACGAAGCACCCGTTGAACCTGAAAGGGGACGCTTCCCTCAGGTCGCCAAGAGGCTCTCAGGTCAACTTCGCCTCAAGAAAGGGAAGCTCGTGCAGCTCGTGATTCATCTCACTCAGCTTACCCATCTCTTCAGCACTTTGAGAAGCTTAACTTGCATTCCGAGAAAGAATAAAAACGGGTGTGGTTCCGGATGGCAAGTCCGCGGGCATTGTGTGGCTGACCAAAATGAAGCGCTTCACGCAAACCAACCCTCCAACATGACGACAAATCACGGTAGAGCTCAAAGCCAATACCTGGCAGCGGCCTCAGCAAGACTGCAAGCAGTAGTAGGGTCGCAAAGGGAAAGAAGCTGAATGACTGAAACAAACTGCAACTATATAATGTAACTAATTGGTTGCAGAATCCTCAAAACTGCGCAATGCTTTTGCAAGCTTCTCGACTCAACCAAGGATCTTGTGAGTCACCACGAAGCTACCCGGACGCATCTGGCGGGCCACCTTTGCCACAGCCTTGCCGCTGAGTTTACCAAGACAGTCACTCGCAACTCGCAACCTAATCTCATTGGTCAAACAGTGTCGTCAGAATTCTTGGTCAGCTTGTGCTGAAAGAAGCCACACCAGTTTCACAAGACACCAGTGCACAGCTCGCTGAAGCATCTGTGATTTGACTTGACGGACTGCCAATTGCCTCCATCATCTCTGGCCCAAACACGATAGAATTTGCCCATACAAAGTCCTTTCGACTGTCAAATCCAACAGTGAGCGGGTAACTGCCACAGGATGTTTGTCTTGTCTTGGGTGGCCCAACATAAGTTGCAGGAAACGCCTCCGGCACCTCCCAGCCTACCAACCTAGCCCTTCAGCTTGCTTTTACAGTACCTCTACAAGGGATGCGAGTTTCTGCAAACGTGAGTTTCAAGATCAGTCGAACAGGAAAACGTCCCACCCGCAGTCCGCATCTGAAAAGTCAAACTCCAGAAAGCTAGTGTGCAGAAAACGTGGAGGCTGCCCTGGCGATGCCAATGACACCAATACAGGAGTCTGAGTCTGCTCAAGCTAGCACCACTGCCCTTTCCATCTCTACACTCTACTCTACACTCATCTCAAGACATAACTTTGTTCAACCCATTCATGAATGCATCGCTCCACATGATCATGTATGCATGCTGCTTCTCACAGCTTTTGAAAGAAACCTGCAGAGACTGGCCCGTAATCGGCCCCGGAAGTAATCGGCCCCCCCACCGGCTGGTGCTTTAACAAACACATGGGTCCATTCCAAGATGTGATATGATACAGTATGATTCCCAATGACAGCTGTTCACTCCTCTTCCGGTGAAAGTTGGGATGATATCTATATCATTTCCCACTGCAGCTGTGGTAAGCAGCAGCAAGTTCCGCCTCCGAGGCTGTCGCCCACCTCAAGAAAATGCGTCAGTCTCGGTTTGCAACTCTGCCGACCCCTTCTCTCAATCAAGCAAACATAGCTATATAAGCATAGCGTATCATGATGTATCATGCTTATGTTGGACACCCCATGGCCTGTCTCAGAAGTGTCCTCGCGGCAGTGCCTGCCACGCGTACACAGATTCTGCCAATGGCCCAGGATACGCAACACAAAAAGCTTCAGCTACTTCTTGTCTGGTCCGCTCATTGAAATGACTTCACAGGCCAGGGAAGACAAGCACGCTGGTGTCGGCCAGGTTCAAGCTCGATCCCAGTTGCTGAAAAACCAATCAAAGCAGCGAGGTTTACCTGAAGAATTCAATCCTCCCCTGTCATTCTGTTCCCATCTTCATCTACTCAGCTGTCATGAGCTGTGTGCATGCGCAGGAAGGGCCATGCCTGTATACCCCGTATGAAATCCAATGTTCCAGAGCTTTGCTGTGCAAAATCCTGTAACTATTTAATCTAAACATTCTTTCACTGAACTCCCTACACGCATGCAAGCACCAAGCAATTGGTACACATCAATCACTATGCGCTGTTCCCAACACACATCCAAGTAGCGACAAATTCTTAATGAACATTGGAGCACTTGCATTTATTAGCATGATCACATATTACTTTTGTCACCGTTATGTACTGTCAGTGCAAGTGGCAAAGGAGCGGCCTTTTGGCGACAAAATTGGCAAAGGGGCCAGGATATGAGTCTAAACATGCATGGTCTCTGGTTGGGTCATGCCATGCATCCCCACCAATTTTGGCGTCACGTCACGAAGGGTTCCAGCTGCACCTAATTTCCTCTTCTGTTCAACTTACACCTGAAAGTATGCACAAAATAGGTTCACCTGAGCAAAAGCGGCAGAGTTTTAAGTGTGATTGCCCTTTGCCCTTCCTACACTCAACATGTGCATGCAAGTTGCTTGGACCTGATCGGGGTTGCCACCCTTGCACATGCCTTTGGGATGTTTGACGCATAGCCCAACATCCTAAATGACTAACTTTGGGTTGGGTCACAGCCGTGGTCAAGTGTGTTCGGAGTTGTCCACTGCTTGCCTGGTTGCATCAAGATGGTGTCCTGTTGGTTGATGTTGTGGTGATGTCTTGAGAAATGCATTGATGCGTTGCTCTCATCGGCTATTCCCAAGTGTTGTAACTTTAGTGTGCGCATACATCTTAACGTTGGTCGCACCACTCCACTACACATGCACTTCAATGAAAAAACACTCTTCACTTACCCTTCCAAAGCACTGTTAGACTGCTTCATTACGTTTGCAGGTCATGAAGCACAAGACTGAATAGATCTACTGATGAGAGCTGTACATGAGGAGGGTAAAAGCAAAAGAATGGAAGGACATGGAACGACTAAACACAAAAGCAGGGGCTCGTGTGTTTTTGGTGTATCGTTTACTCCTCTCTTCAGGAAGGGTCCCGAATCGATTCGGTACCGAACTTTCGGAACCAAAAGTTTGCGAATGTCAAGCACCAAAATTGTTCATGAACCGAATGTAAACAACCGTCAATTTTCTAAACACAACCGAACCAAAAAGAAAAACGAACCGTTCCACTGTTCCGCTGTGACGTTTTTCAGACTGTCCAAAGTCTTGAGTTTCAGAGCAGCAGTCCCCCACCGGAATCTCCATACAGCATGTCACTGGCCCGGCCCGGCTTCAGGCGCATGTATAAAGTGCTTTCCTTTCCTTTTCCTTTTCCTTTCCTTTTCTTTGCTTTCCTTTCCAATATGCTTCTTAGACGGCATGGAAAAGACATATTCACAAATTGCATTCCTACCTGTCCATTTCCATTTCCTTTTCCTTTCCTTTGCTTTCCCTGACATTGTCCTTTCCTTTCCTTGTCCTTTTCCCTTCCTTTCCTGTCCAATATGCTTTTTAGACTGCCAGGAAGAAGCATATTCACAAATTGCATACCTTACCTGTCCTTTTCCTTTTTCATCTTTTGCAATTGCTTTGCTTTCCTTTCCTTCCTTTTCCTTTTCTTGGCTTTCCTTTTCAATATGCTTTTTGGAAGGCCTGGAAAAAGCATATTCACAAATTGCATTCCTTCCCCTTGCTTTTCCTTTTCTATTCCCTCTCTTTGCTTTCCCTTCCTTTTCTTTCCTTTCCTTTCCTTAAATAGTTACTTTCCTTTCCTTTCCTTTCCTTTCCTTTCCTTGCCTTGCCTTTCCTTTCCTTTCCTTTCCTTCTCTCTCCTTTTGCTTTCCATTTTCCCGTTTTCTCCTGTCCTGTCCTGTCCTGTCTTGTCTATAGTCTATAGTCTAGTCTTGTATTGTCTCTTTATCATGGCCTTTCTTTTCTTTACCCCACTGCAAAACTTATACCTCACAGAACCGAAACGAACTGTGAACCGAACCGAAAGTCCATGAAAAAACACTTCTACAACCAAGCCGAACCGATTCGAAGTTTCAATTAAACATTCAAGCCGATTCCAACCGAACCGAACCGAAACCTTACTGTCTCTTGCAAGCTGAGCAACGAGTTTTCCAGTGCCACTGCCGAGGTCCTAAGCTGGAAGGATCAAATGCCCCAAGGGTGGCGAGATTTACATCATCGGAAAGGCACTCGAAAAACGGAGTCTTGTATTGAGAGCCCGGGGCACATAAATGATCGCGGGTGGCCTTAAACCCAAGTCAAAGATAAGCTCCGCAAAATCCTGCTCATTGATTTCTCCTTGATTTTCCGCGGTTCATCAATAAGCAACGTGACAGGATTCTTGCACATCTTCCAGTTGCATTGTGTCGCATGCCCAGTCTTTCGTTCTGTACAAAGTGGCAACCATTGCATATGAGGTGCCATAGAGCGCAGAATTGGAAAAACCATTGATGCCATCAACGGAGAGGACACCTTACACATCAAGGCAATGCTTGCGCAATATGCTTACCGCGCCGACGACGACGACGACGACTACTACTACTACTTCAACTACTACGACCACAACAAAGACTACGACCACGACTACACCTGCTGCTACTGCTGCTGCTACTACTGCTGCTACACCTCCGCTGCTGCTACTGCTGCTCCTACCACTGCTGCTGCTACTGCTGCTACTACTCCTCCTACTACTCCTCTTCCTCCTGCTCCTCCTCCTCCCCCTCCTTCTGCTCCTCCTCCTGCTGCTGTTGCTGTTGCTGCTGCTGTGCTGCTGCCACTGCTACTGCCACCACGACTGCTACGACGACAACCATGACGACCACGACGACAACAACTACATACTACACTGCACGCAAGATAGCTGTTCGAATCTCCGCGCACATGGCCTTCCCAGTCTGCAGTATCGTCTCCAAAACCGGTCCCAGCATATGCACGGGAAAGTGCGCCCAGTGCATCCTTGGAGATTCCCAAAAATCTGTGCAATGAGTGCTTCATGCTTTCAGTTGTATACTTGTCGCTGAGTTGCTCCCAGGTCAGGCGGAGCGGGCGGAGCAGCCAAAAGCTGCCTTTGGAAACCAAATCGCATAGGTATGTACATATCCTGAGATATCTATACATATATATATACGATGTTTCTTGCATCTGTCTTGATTCCATTCACTTTTGGCAACAACCACAACATGTGCACGAGGAGGCTGCTCTTGCTGAATCTCCAGCTCCTCCTGCACTGCCACGTTACGTGCAAGTGCACATGGCAGCAAGGAAAAAACATCCCAGTACAAAGTACCATTGCACTACTGTTGATCAAAACGACCAAACAGTACTCTTGGAGTGATGCCGCAGCCATGCGCCAAACATAATTACAGGCATAATAAATATAAACCTGAAAAGTGAGGAGACAGCCCTCGCAAACGCTTGGAGCAACGCGCTCGACTCAAGGTAGAAAGCCGGGCGTGCAACCTCTATTTCTTCACGAGCACTTGAGCCAAAGTGTGTTGGTTTCAGTACAGTATGCATTTTAACTGCAAGCCTTCAGGTCCTGCAAAACCCCCCACGCAAGCGCAGGCACCGGCATTGCACACACACACACCCACACCAATACGGAATGGACTCTCCCCCCGCACAGGGAGATTGATAAGCCAACTCGCTTGCTACACCCCGTTCCTCCAAGAAACGATTGAGATCTCTGACCGAGCGAGTCATATGGCCCCTCAAATGCGTAGATCTCGCGCCTATGTACGAAACCACTCCAACTTGGTGGCACGGCTCCTCAAGGATTCTCAAATAGGCATCTTTCTCTCCTGAACTATTGCGCCTTCAGTGGTGTCCAAACAGATACAGCAGGGTTTGGCATATTACCAGGGTGCCGTCGAGGTCTCAAAGCAACACACGGACACACGGGTCGATGACCTCTGTCAAGTTCGCTGCAGGTTGTGAAGCTGGTGCAGTTGCGTTGCCGTCATCCCTTTGCACTTCGGCAGTAGTTGTGTGGCCCACTTGAGGAGACTTAGAGGACGATGCTCGCAGACCGCTGTGACCTGTAGTTTGGGGCGTTTGGGGCACCGCTTCGGAGTGTATTCTCGTGAGTTGACTTTGGCTTAACTATGGCGACAACTCCTGCGCTTACGTTAGGCACACAAAGTCCCTCTCAGGAAAGGTGCCACAGCGCCACCGCAGACAACCAAGGCTCTTAACCTAGAAAGCCGGGCATGCAACTAGAAAGCTGGCGTGCATTTCTTCACAAGCACAAGCACTTGAGCCAAAGTGTGTTGGTTTCAGTACGCATTTCAATTCAAGAGGCTAAAACAAAAGATGTGAGAGCCTCTAACACTCCCGCACAGACTCGCTGATAGTATGCACTTCGTTTGCAAATTGAAATGCAAATGCTCGAAGATGCATCTGCCATGTCCTACTTTGTCAAGGGTCTTATTGCTAAAGCCCGCTTTTCGGAGGTACCCTTTTTTTGCCAGACGGCCTCCAAACAAGGCGCAGAAGCACCAACAATAAAAACTCCTCGTTAAGGTCTTTTCTCAGAAACTTGGTGGCTAGGTGCCCTTTTTCCAAAGGTGCCCTTTCCAGCCCGGAGCCCTCAAACAACACAAAGGGGCGCCAAACCAGAAACGCAGCTTCTTTCCTTCTCAATGGCTCGACTCCAGGAACTAAAACGAAAATACTGTAGATATCTGTGGATTAATATGTTATCACTGGAACCGGAAGATTATATATGCAAAAAAAGGCTTCAACTTCAACCGTTGTGGCATCACTCGCATCACCGAGGGCGTCATAGCGCAACCTTTTGCCGACCAATGTTTTTGCTCTCCCCCTGCACTCTTATGCGCATAATGCGCGCAAATACACAAGATCCTTTCGAAAGCAGCTTTGGGAAACCTTTAGAATCTGAGTCGAAGTTTTGAAACATTCTATAGTTTGCTCAAGGCTTCTGCGACTGCCCTCTCGAACTGCGCCTGGTGCACTCGACGTTCTTGCAGGCTAGGAGTCGGAAGGGTCGAGTCCTGTCATGGCACTTTGCAATTGTGGAATCTCGATCACAACGCCATGATGGGGCTCCCGCCAAACAATCTGGCTGGCGCCTTGCATTTTGACGGCTGCTTGCTAACAACGAATGCCTGCCATGCGCTTCGGCAGCTGGTTTTACCAATAGCCGGCTTCGATCATGGCAGCTGGAGCTGCTATCGATCCTTCTTGTCCAGAGAGGGCAAGAAGCGGTCAACAGTCAAGCTCCACAAAAGGAAGGTGCCCACGAAAATGGAAGAACATGCTCCGTAGAGCCCTCCCATGCCATAGTCATTAAGAACACTGATGCCCACTGCTGGAGTGACCACCCTGGCTGCCGAGAAAATGCAATGTTCCATCCCAATGAGGGTGCCCTTCATGTCCTCAGGAACAAGCTGTGTGTTCTCTGCCGTAATGCTGGTTGACAAGCTGTACTGGAAGGTCGCCAAAATGAGAGCAATGCTTGTGAAGCAGCTCTTCTGCGCCAGCAGCGGCAGCGCCAACGGCATTGAGTTCAGCAAGGATTGAAGTGCATAGCCACCTGCCATTGCCAGCACACAATTTCGGACAACACTCCTTGGTGCACCGCCCATGATTCTGGTCACAGGACCCAGAAGCACCGCATTTGCTACCGCGCCAAAAGCGAATTGAGCAGACATGAACAATCCCAGGTCTGCCTCTGCAAATCCCAGTTGGTTCTTCAGGACAAGGTTTTGCGTTGAAGATGCCATAGAATTGGCAGTGGAGGTGATGAGCTTCACCATGCTCAGAAAGCCTGCCACTCGCAAAACAGTAGATATGCGAGAATGCCAAGGCTGAAATGGCGTGGGAGGCTTGAGATCAGCCTGCTGTGCGTCGGGCACTCCCAACTTCTGATCATTTTGAACGGTAACCGCAGTAGCAGGTGGCAGCATCAAACTGGCAGCTGCAGCCACAAGAGATCCGATCATCGCTAGCTTTGCACTGAAAAAGTAGTTTCCTTTGGCTCCTAAAAGACCTCCACAGTAGGGTCCAACCACTCCCCCGATAGTATAGGCGGTTGTCAGTCGCCCCAAGGCTCGCACTCGATCGGGACCTGGGCTAGTGAGTTGACTCACAGCCGTCTGGGCACAAAGGAAGCCGGCCATGCCAATGCCAGGAATCTTCGATATGTAAAGCATGCTCATACTGGAGGTGATGGACAAAAGATAATATGTGGCTGCACATGCCAAAAAGTTCAGTGAGAAGCCCACCCGCACACCGGCTTTGTCGAGGATGTGGCCAAAAAGTAGGGAAGCGAACATTTGTATCGCAGAGAACAAGGACTGCAAACGTCCGTACGACACACTCGCCTCAGAAGCCTTGTCCTCTCCAACCAACTGTTCAACAAGGAATGGTTCCAATGGCGACTGCAACTGGTAGCACAGAGCATAAAACACCACCAAGGCGTACACCAAAATGAGACCGAATTGAGACCTGCCTGCCTTGTCGTCTGTCACCGACATTCTGGCAAGCCAGCGTGCCGTGTGCAAGAAACACACGCCAAAATTGATGATGTTGAGAGCAAATGGCTGACAAAAGGGGTCACGCCCTAACAACGAAGCCGGCCGAAAAGGTAATGCATCATCAATGGTTTCCTGAATGGTGTATACAGTAATACATGCCGTCGTACATTACATCCATGGTCCTTTTATATAAGCTTAGCTCAGCGACAAACAAGCATGCAGTCCCTCCTGCAGCCTTTGCCTCACACGGAGCTGGCAGAAGGAAGGGTTCGAGAGGTTTGTCTCCGGCAATGCCCGACAAAAGCAAAGTATAAACTAAGCTGGAACAAAAATGTCATATGCTGTATCTGTATTGAATGTGAAAATTTCTTTCTCTCTCTCTCTCTCTATATATATATATATATCAATTATATCAACTTATGTAGGCACAATCCGCGTATGAACTGGCGTGGACCTGCGTCTGCAGCTGGCCCCCATGGCACGCACCAGTCATTAAAGCAGAACCAACCGTTTGTGACGTCGTTCTTCCACAACAAATCGAAATGGTCAAAGCCTACTGGGGAGTCTGATGCGAACTACTGTTGATTCATATCGGTCATGCTGATGATGTTATATAATTAGTGAGCTTTTTCTAGTTGCGGCAACCATGTTGCAGCAATCATTCCTCTGCCTTTGGTTCTGAATTGTTTTGCCGCTGTTTACGCGCAGCGCTTGAGCAGAGAACATTCAGCAACCATGGGAACGCTCATGACTCATAAATCGCACAAGGCAAAACATATGTGCCTCTGAATGGCCCATAATGGCCCGACGCAAACTGAGCCCAACACTTCTCTGGAGGTACTCCAGTTGCAGCCTCTGGCACGAGTGCCCCCAAGTCGGTTCTGACAGACTGCCAGGACAAATGGTTTGTCATGGCCTCGATGCGAGACTTCACCTGCAAAAAAACAGTTCCCCCTCATATACACACTGCTTTTGCGCAACCCATCCAAGTCTGGAGCAACTTCGTCCTTCCAAAAAGACTTTAAAAAAGAAAACATCCGGCTGATGACCCTTTACTCATGTCATCTTTCAAAAAGGAAAATCCTATGCGTGGACCTGTTCATTTCACAACTTCATCACGGAAAAGCCTCCGCAAAGGTGTCAGTGGGCAAACAATCCAGCTCAACCTTCACAAATCTCTGCTCGGGCACTTTGATGGCGAAAAAACCTTTTTTCAAGAGTTCTGTGTGCGGGTGTGCATGTGTGTGTGCAACCCTTGGAATCATAGGGAGCCTGTTGTCTCTTGTTGAAAAATTGCAGGGGCCTTGTAGACGCATGGATGGCACTGGCTTACGATCTATGTCATCGTGGAAGCATACCTGCATCGATCGCTTCTGGGTGTGTGAGTGACAGCTGGAAGATCTCAACCTTTTGGCCCCCTGTTTTAACATGTTTTATTTGTTTTGCACATGCAACAAATTTGTATCTATATAATATAACTTTCATCGGTTCTTCACTTCGGCGGACAGGCACTTTAAGTTGTCGTTGTCAGTTTTCGCTTCGGGATTCGAAGGCAGACCGTGGCACGTTGGACTGCATTGCACACAGCCTGCTTTACTCAGGAATTTGTTTCACTTCGGTTTCTTCTGGGCAATTGGCGGCCTTAGTGCGAACTATTATCTCGAGTGTTGTGTGCGTGCCTATCGGGATCTCTGCAGAAATGCCAATAAAAAAGGATCTGAGCCTCAAAGCAACTGCAGTCACGATGATACATCTACACATCAGATGTGAAACTGAAGCACCAGTCCATTCTTCAAAAACTCCTGAAATGCCAAACTTTGTTGGAAACATAATGTTCACATATTGCATGTGCATACATACATGTATATATATATGTGTGTGTGTGTCCACACCTGTGCCTAAGGTTTTGAGTCGTAAAGGACGCTACTTGGGCCCCTGGTTTTGCTACTAAGGGCTCCTGGTATCGCTACTAACTTACAGTTTCTAAACGCAGAAAAAGAGGCAGGGGGACTGTCTACCAGAGTGACAGTCCAACGAAGAGGCTTCTGTGGCGGTACTGGTATCCGGAAGGGACGCATTCTGGACGTACCTGCAGTTTACTGGAGCAATTCCTCATTGGTCCCGCTCTTAACTAGAACAAGAAACCCCAAGAAATCCAGCCATTGCATCGGTTTGCAGTGAGCGGCTAATGCACTACAACAATTTGTTAAACATCTTCAACTTTCCGGACTTCCTCGCCCTTCGGTTTGCACTTTTCTTCCAGTCAAGGGAACTTCGTACTGATACTAGCTCTTGCGAGCAACCATCCAAGTGTGTTTCGCCACAGGGTCCCACCGAGGGCTGTGGTGTGATCCCCGTCAAGGGGCGCCGCATGTGCACAGACCCAGATCCTGGGGGAATCCTTCTGATATTCCGTTTTGCTTTCGTGAACTTCGTTCGATCGTCTCTGATTGGCAGCAAAGCACGATACCACTGATCTTATGCCGCAGGGCCTACTGTGATCAACACCTTGAGATTTTCTCACCAGAAACATGCGTCTACGTAATCATTTGTACAGTGCTCAGCAGCAGTCATCCTCGGCAGGGTCCAGCATCATACTTCAGGCACGACATGAGATTCTTTTGCCATGAATTGTTCATGCTCTTCGGTTCTTTCTCTCCTTTTGTTGCTTTTCGTTTCTTGAAGCCTTTCTTTAGGTTCCAGGTGTCTTTCAGAGAAGGGGTGCGCCGGCCCAAATCGGCTATACTTGAGAGGAAGGAGACACGAAAGGTAGGTTCGTAAATATATGTTCATATGCACTCTAAATGTTCAAACATATGCTCTCGAAATGTTCAAAAAGGTTCTTAGGAAAACAAACTTGCCCCATGGCTCAGATCATCGGTGAGCATTGAATCGGAACATCATAGGATTTGAACTATCCTGAAACCATAAGA